CTTGTTTATTTAAGAAACCAGAGAGGTAATGTGGTGGCATATTATTATGCCTATTAAAATCTGTAGGAATTAAAAACATGTAACATTTTTTCTGTCTAAGCATGTTAGAATGATGTGTAGTACCAGTGTCACACTGCAGGATAAAGAAAGATAAATGGAGCCCAGCCCCTCCTGAGGAGGGTGGCACACACCTTCCCACTGCTCACTCCCTGCCCTTGCCTGGCTGCCTGACCTGCAAGGTGAGTTTGTCAACAGCATCCATCATTCTGACATAAAGAGATGCTTGTTTACAGCTTTGTGATCAGTTTGTATTAACTCAATGACTATCATAGAATCAGAGTCATTAAGGTTGGAAAAGACCTTTAACATCGAGTCCAACCATTAACTTGATTAACTGATACTTAGGAAGAAGTTCTTTACTATAAAGGTGGGCAGGCCCTGGCACAGGTTTCCCAGAGAAGCTGTGGCTGCTCCTGGATCCCTGGTAATGTCCAAGGCCAGACTGGATCGGGCTTGGAGCAGCCTGGGACAGTGGAAGGTGTCCTTGCCCATGGCAGGGGATGAAACGGGATGACCTTGAATCCTTCTAGGATTCTATGATACTTGGACCACTGTATCTATAGTATCTATAAACAAATTATTAGAACAGAACACAGATGACCTAGCGGAGAATATATTGTGAAGCTGGGTTTTTAAACGGTCATTATTGTTCTTTCAAAGAAAAAACAATTACTACATAACACTACATTAGGGCCCACAGCACATGTGCAGGTATAAGAGCATGCCCTGGGTGCAACTGAAAGTAGCTCTCCAAAGGTGTTTGACCTGATTTCAATCTGGTAATAAATTATATAAAAAACTGAGTCAATTGAAAACTGGAGGCCAGTACAGAGGTTTCCATGGTCTCCTGCAAGCATTTATTTTAAACAAATAAAAAATTTCTCAGTATCTGAGAACCTGAAAGTCAAGCTGGTGGAACATGACTGAACTTCCTCACTTAAAACTAGCAAACACGGAAGGAAAATAAGGGCTGTTATTAAGTGATAATGGTTCTTTTTCTCCCTTTAAACTAACACTAGCCATTAACTGGGACAAGTTGTCCTGCTCTGTGTCAGTGAGTGACTGACTGTTCCTGCCAGAAGTGAGGCGAGTCAAAGACAGACCTGTGGTAATCTGCTTGTCAAGTGGAAATGCCCATCTGTGCTCTGGGGTGACATGTGTCTCACTCAGCGCCGTGCATGGAGAGAGAACTTCACCCAGGGGATGAGCATCTTGGCTTTCACTCCTGCAAGGAGCAGTTCTCCAAGTCAAAGGTTTGATTACGGTCACAGTCTGAGGCAGCACCTTCGCTGCCTGTTAGTTGAAACGTGCTGTAATTTTCAATGCCATCTGCATACCAGTTAGCTCTGAAGGGTGAAGCTGCTTCTAGCTTGCTCTGATGATGGTTGATGATCCAACATTCAGGAAAACTGCAACTGTTCATCTTTTTCCATGCCCTTTGGTAACAAAACACACTGATGTAGCAAGCTGTGTGGGTAGAACAACATCCTTGTGTCTGTGTGTCTGCTGGCTTGCACAGGCTGAAACAGGTGAGCAGGAAAATCAATAACAGGCTTCTGTCTTGGGTAAACTGAGGAAAGTAGAGGCAACCCCATAAAACCCCGTCACAAGATGGAGAAGGTTGGATGGGACCACAGTGGGTCACCTGGTGCTCCTGCTCAAACAGAGTTACTCAGAGCACAGGATTGTGTCCACAGACAGAGAGGGAGACTCTGCACCCTCTCTGTGTAGCCTGTTCCACTGCGAGGTCCCCTGCCCAGGACAGACGTTCTCCCGTATAGAAAGGGAGCTTGTAGGTGATGTTCCCAGTGCTGAGGGCTTTGGGTAGATGGCAGAAACAAAGAGTGCACCAGTCTGTACTCTGGGTGTCTTTCCAGTCCACCACATACGCCTGCTGAGCATTCCTCACCCATCAGGCATGAGTCTGGGACAGGGGGCTGGCTTTGGACTGCTTGAGCACAGGGCATGGCAGAACAGGGCACTGGATCCCTCCGAAGCTGTGTGTCCATTGTGGTCATTGACACTTGGGAAGGCTGGAATGACAGCTCCTGATGGCTGAGGAAAAGTTCTCTGTCTGGTGGGTGGCATCCCTCTGCTGGGATTGGCCATTGTTTGCTGCCATGGAGTGCTGGATCAGGCTGGGGCCAGTCCCAGAGCTGCCCACGCTGTGCCACGCCGCTCTGCAGGTGTGGCACTGCCCAAGTGGGGTGTGGACCCCAGTCCCATGGTGCCCCGTCCTCTCACACTTCTGCCCAGCTCACTCACCTGGGGATGTGGAGCAGGCAGAGGGCAGCATGGAAAAGGTCAAACAGCTATCTGGGAAGAAGCATTTTCTTTCCATTTTAGAATATTAAAGATCATCATGTAACAGACTCAGAGCACTTGATAGTGGATCACAATTAAGTTTGTGACATGCAAATTATTGCCAAGTCTTCAGTAGACAAATGGACACAGAAAGAGCCCTAGGCACCATGTGGCACTGGACAGTACAAAAATTCAGCTGTGAGAACAGGTCTTCTTTCATCTGTGGAGCCCTGGGAAGCTGTCAGGGGACACTGGTGCAGCATGGCAGTGCTCATGTATCCTCTTGAGGCAGGGTGGGATGTTCCCTACACCTGAGGGTGTACAGATTCTTTCTTTCTTCCGGCAAGGCCTGGTAGACAGGGAAATCCAGTCTCCTTTCCCCCTGCCCCTTCCCATATTTTTCTTGCTTGTGGGTTTGTGGTTGATATTTGGTCAGCTCTAGAATATTCCCATTTTATCCTGTCCACCTGCAGAGTGAAATGCTGCCAGCTACATTTAGCCCTCTCATTACCCTGAATCTTATTCCTTTTATACATGACGGTGGGAATTTCTGTTGCTCTGAAGAGAGTTTTAGGTCAATTGATGAAATAAGTAGGAGAAAGTGTCAGAGCTCTTCACCTTCTCTTCTTTTCTCCTGGTAACTGCAGACTGCTCTCTGTGTACCAAACCTCCATGTGCAGAGCATACAGGACTAATATTTGGGAATTCAGGTTTCTATACAGCACACAAATCCGTGTTTCATGCCACAATTGGAAGTCCTAGAAATATCACTGATATTTGAACACTTCAAAAAGCAAACCACTGAAAGATCAAATGTATCCTTGAGGCTGAATTATTAGTGAAGTAAAAGTGGTTTGTAAAAATAAAACACCAGTGATTCTAATGACAATAACTATCCAGTTTCTTATTTTAAAGGTGTTTTTTAAAAATCATTCTTAACTGAAAATTAATTAATCAAAAGAAGAACTAATTATGGTTGCCTGACAATCAACTTCATTTCCCTCAGAAATCTAAGGGAATAATTACTTGGTAAACCTTCTCTTTTTATTCTTCTTTATTTACTTAAATTTTAATTACAAAAACATATGGTATGTTTGTATGAACCTAATACTTGAGAAAGCAGCTTGGCAGTAGTGGCAACCAGAGTCCTTTTGTGAATTTACAGAGCAGAAATGTCACAGCTGTTACAGGGCACAGCCTTTGGCAAAGCCAGTGTCCCACATCTCTGACCTCACCTAAGGATGGATTACAGAAGCTGGGGTTGGAAGAAATCTTAAGGCCCATCTCATTCCTAACCCTGCTATGGGCAGGGACACCTTCCATTATCCCAGGATGCTCCAAGCCCCATCCAAAGTAGCCTTGGACATTTTCAGGGATGGCGCAGCCACAGCTTCTCTTGGAATCTTGGAAACCTCTTCCAGGACCTCCCCACCCTCACAGCCAATAATTCCTTCCCCATATCCCATTTAACCCTGCCCTCTGGCAGTGGGAAGCCATTCTCTTTTGTCCTGACCTTCTAGGCTGTTGCCCAAAATCCCTCTCCAGCTCTCCTGGAGCCCTTCTTCTCCAGGTGAACACCCCCAGCTCTTCCAGCCTGCCTCCAGAGCAAAGGGGCTCCAGCCCTCCAATTATTCTTGCAGCCTTCTCTGTACCAGCTCCAACAGGTTGATATTCTTCTTGTGCTGAGGCCCCCAGAACTGGAGGTAGTGCTCCAGTTGGGTTCTTCAAAGCAGAGATGGGTGTCGAGATCAAAGTTTCCCTCTATCTAGGCTAATTTGAAGTGTTGTTCACAGTGAGTGATGGGGTTAATATCCATAGAGTGATTATTGAACTGCCTGGAATAAAGAAAAAAAAACCAAAAAAAGATAACCCAGGGTTGTGAGGCTTGTCATGTGTTGTGACCTGCCACGCAGTACATGGGTGGGCTGTGTGGTGTTTGCAGTGGCCACACGAGTCGGTCCCCGGTCACATTTTGCATTTGAGGAATGCTGAAAGACACTGTGTGCCAAGAGTATCCAGTTCCCTTCAAGTCACCTTCCCTTTGCAACCGTGACAATCGGCTGCTTGGCACAGCCACCTCCTGGATCCAGAAATCAGATGGAATTGAGGCCCGCGCCCTGCACCCATCCCACACCTGCGCGGGCGCTGAGTGCTCGGGGAGATGCTCTGGAGGAGATGTCTGGGAGAGATGCTCTCGGGGGACGCTCTGGGAGGGATGCTGTGGAGGGCAGGCTCTCGGTGGATGCTCTCGGCGGGATGCTCTGGAGGGGAGACGCTCGGGGGATGCCTGTCGGGAGGATGCCGTGGGAGGACGCTCTCGGGGGATGCTCCCTGGGGATGCTCTCGGGGCCGTGAGGGAACCTGCCGAGGGGCGGACGTTTCTAGACGCGGAGCGAGGCGGCGGTGGGGCGCGGGACACTCCCATTGTCTGCGGCGGGGCCGGGCGGGGCGGGGGAACCGGGGGCCGAGGGGCGGCCGCCCACCCTCTGCAGCCTCATTGGCGGCCGCCGAGCGCCGATGTCCTAAATGGGCGCTGCCCGGGAGCGCTGCCATTGACAAAAAAAGCGGCGGCGGACGGGGGCGCGGCGGGGCTGCCGCAGGGTGCCCGCGGGCAGGGGCGCGGAGCGGGAGGCGGAGCCGCCCCTCCTCCGCCGCCCGCCTTCCCCCGCGCATGGCGCTGAGCGCGGCAGCCCCCGGCTCCGCACGTAAGTAACGGCCCCGCCGCGCCTTTGTGCGCGGGCCCGCCGCAGGTGAGGGGCTGCACCGGTCGTCTGGCGCTCTCGGCCGCGCCCCTGCCGGGCACCGGGCACAGGGGGGAGCCCGGTCAGAGCGGCCGCGGCCCGGCCCGGGGGCCCGGCTCGTCGGAGCCCCGGCTCGTCGGAGCCCCGGGGCCGGGGGAGGTGCCCTGGGGCCGGGCCGGGCCGTGGCGGCGCCTCAGGGCTGCGCTCTGCCCCGCGCAGGTGGCGGCGCGAGCGCGGCTCGCGGTGACTCCCCCGGGCCGGGGCGGCGGCGGGCGCTGAGCCCTCGGCCCGGATGGAAAGTGGGGGTGATGCCAGAGCGGCACTTCTGCGGGGCGGCAGAGGCGGCGGCCGTGGCGGGGTTCCAGCGGCTGCCGAGCCCGGCGCTCCCCCGGCCGCGGAGACCGGCGTGAACATGGATGGGCCCGGCGGCGGGGGGAGCGGGGCAGCCGCAGACACGGACGCTGCTGCAGCGCCGGCAGCCCCTGGGGCCCCCACCCCGCCGCCTCGCGGCCCCGGCTCCAGGGACCCCAAGCTGGTCCATCAGCGGTTCCTGCGGAGGAGCGTGGTGGACTCGGACCAGGAGGAGCCCGCCTTCGACCTGCCCGAGGCGGAGCACCAGCGGAGAATCATCCTGCTCCCCAAAACCAGGAGGATAATCGCGGAGCGGGCGAAGGCGGGGCAGGGGGCGGCGGAGGCGGCGGGCCGGGAGGCCGAGTGCTCCGGGGAGCCGCGGGCAGCGCCGGCCGCGGGCAGCACCGCGGGCGCCGAGGAGCCGAAGGAGCCAGGCAAGGATGCGGAGCGGAGAGAGACGCAGGATGCTGCCAAGGACCAGGGCAAGGCTAAGAAAGAGGAGCCGGAGGAGGAAGCTGATATGAAAGCGGTTGCCACCTCGCCCGATGGCAGGTTCCTAAAGTTTGATATTGAACTCGGGCGGGGATCCTTCAAAACGGTCTACAAGGGTCTGGACACGGAGACGTGGGTGGAAGTCGCGTGGTGTGAACTGCAGGTAAGCCTAGCTGATCCTCCTGTGCTTTTTTTTCTGCCTTATAAGCCGGGAGCTAAAGGCACCGTGCTGGTGTCATTCAGAGCAGCTCAGCCCTGAGCATCCTTTATGGTCACCATCGCTTAGAATCCAGTGTCTAACTATAGCGCAATATCCCCATTGGCTCCGGATCCACCACCTTATTATGTACACTCCTTCCACGCTTAACCCCCTCGGCCCGGCGCCGCTGCCCGCGCAGGGCCCGCCTGGTGCGGCGAAGGTCACGCGTGGCTCCCGCCGCGTGGGAAAGGGCGGAGCGGGGATGCTGGGCCTGGCCCCAGCCCTTTCTCGGGGCAGCAGCTCCCGGTTAAAATGACACCGACAGCCAGTGATTTGAGTGCGTTTGCAGAGGAAAATTTCCTTTTGTGTTACGGCTTCATGAAGGCTGCTTCCCCCGACCTTCCCTCTCCCCTGCCATGAAATTGTCGCTGTCCTGGTGAATCAAACCTCCTAATATGCCCCGGTGCTTGCCCTTTTTTAGGTACCATGTTTGCAGTACTTTGGTTAGGTTAAAGACTTATCTATCCAAATAGCTTTGAAAAGGCGGATTTTTACATTCAAGTTCTAGATCTTCAGAATGAAGTAGTATCATCCAGCAATATCTAAAGAGAACGAAGGTTTAGATGCTGTCTTTTGCTGTTGCCCTGTTCTTGGTGGGTTTTGTAGCCCTTGGTAAAAATCACAGTAGTACACGCCTAATTTTTTTTTTTTTTTTTGCTTATAGTGAAGCTCATAGTGCCTATTATCTCACTTTTGTTGGTATCCATTGGAGTGAAACCTATCTAGGAGAAAAACGTAACACAGAATTAATACTGTTTTATTTTCAGCCTGAGTTACTCTGCAACTTAGGTGAAAGGAGGTTAACTCTTCATTATAATTTGGGATCTTTAGAATTCCATTGGAAAGCTGAGCTTTATGGCTTACTAGAGTATTTGAAACTGACATGGAAATAACGTGTTATTGTATGTCTGAGCTCTTGGTTAGTTGTTTATATTTTAATGTTGGCCCAGTCTGTTTGTAAATTACTCCTGGCTGCCTGGGATAGCTGGGGATGGATGTACAGCCACATCTTTATTCTCTGATGATTTCATTACACAACATAATCATAATTTACTGCAGCAGTGCTCTCGTAATAAGAATTATGGGGAACACTTCTCAGTCTTCATAGTCGTGCATTCCCCGGCTTTTATCAGGCAGGGCTGCAGAATGGGAGACACAGCAGCGAGGCAAGGTTTCGAGGGCTGGTGGTGAGGGGCTGAACCCCTCCCTCCTTCAGCCCGGGGGTCTTGGTGGCTTTGTGGGGAGAGGGGGGTCTGGGAGATTGTTAAGGGGATTTAAAAGAGAGCTGCTGCAGGAAAGCCTGGGGGCAGGCCTGGGTTCTTGTCTGGCTTTGCTGGGAGCTGAATCCGGAGTGTGTAAGGCTTCTACTTCAGCAGCCTGAAATCCACCAGGGATGGTGGCCGGGGTGCTGCTGGAGGGCAGGCTGGAAGAGGCTGATGCTGCTCCTGTCAGTCCATGCAGCCCAGGCCAGCCCCATTGCTGCAGAGCATAGCACAGACCCAGAATTCAGCATGATGCCACGTTTTCTCAGAGTGCTCTAGCAGCAGGATTGATATAAATGGATTTTCTAAGTATTTTCTGTAATGGAGCAGCTTTGACGACCAAAACCTGCCAAATGTATCGGTGAACACTGCTTGGAAGTGCTAGTCTGGATCATGTACACCTAAGGAAGAGACTGGGAAGGGAAAACTGCAGTATGAAAGCTTTCTTACCTGGTGAACGGCCTTCATATTCTTAATTACCCTTGTTTAGGAATTCTTGTACTGACTGTGTGTGAAAAAATCTGTATAATGCTCAAATTCCCATTAGTTTTCACTATATGTGCTTCAGCCCAAATCAGATCTTACTGCTAGATATTTTCAATTTGATACAGGATTTGCTTTAGGCTTCTAATTGTGGAAAGAAAAATTATTTGGCTGCTTTAGAGAAATTGGTGTGAATCCGTTGGAGGCAGGGCCTGCTGGGTCTCCTTAAACTGTACTGTGTGCAGTTTTGAGTGACGCCGGAGGTAATGTGAGATGGGATGTGACTTTGGAAGCCAGTACTTTGGTCTGGATTGGGAAAGCCTCATTGAATGACAAAAGCCTTTAACGGCTACAGGATTAAAGCCTGTGCCTCTGGACTGGATTTGCATGGAGGAGGCAATGGGAGAAGGTGCGAATGGCTGTGTTGTTTCTTTGACTTGTAGAATACTCTCAGTTCAGCTGGGGAATTTTAGGGAAAACATTCAGAGGGTGCTGTCGAGTAAATCACTTTATTCATGGCTGCTTTAATTTATTTTTTTTTAATTGTGAGCTGTGTCAGTTAGATCTGCCCTGATATGTGTTTCTCTGCACAAATTTGAAGTTCCCTATAGGTAGCAGGAGACTGAGTGGAAGCCATCATATCACCATGCTGTTGGAGACAAAATGCCTCCCTCTGCAGCCTCACACCATCAGAACCCAGGCCAGAGCCTTTTTGTGGAAAAATTGCTGCAGGCTGTAGTATTTTTCTTGTGGAGATGCACTTGCGCTTGTTCCGCTTGGAGCGGGGAAATGAAAGTGGACAGCATTGAGGTTCCGTGCAGGCATTAATCCTGTCCTGGCTCAGCGGTTTTTGAGCCCACTTGTGCTGTTGCCTGTGTGTCTTTGTCCATCTGTACAAAGGCCTTGCGAGCCATTCTTGTTCAGTGGCTTTATTTCATTGAAAACACGGCTTTAGGGTTCAGAACTGAAGCCATAGCTCTGATTAGGGCGGGACCCGAGCGCTAACCAAGTGATCTGGGCTTTAGACCTGTCTGAAGAGGTGAGAGCTGTATAGTTGAATTCTAGCTAGAAAATAAGGCTATTGTTCCTTTATGAAGCTAAAGTGCTAGAGCAGGATTAGTGTGCCCTTGCAGTTTTGGAAGGGTTTGCATTCCTAAGTTTTCAGCAGCTATAATTAATATTAATTGATGGCCTACAGTCGCTGTGTGGTGAGGCTTTGGCATAACAGTTGCACTCCTGAGTAGGGCTGGGTCATGAATAAGGAATACAGGCTTTGCCACTCCCCTGCTTGCAGGCCAAATATTCTGTTTAGTTAGATGAATGGTTTCAAAATGCCCATCATGTTTCCCTTTGGGAATGTATAGGGACTCTGCAGAGAGTCAGACCTGATATTGTGAAATGCAGAAGCCTCATTGTACTTTATGGTTCTTGCTTGGACTGTGAATACCACCATTGTATTTAATTTTTTTTTTTTTTGTGTTGAGAAATGGGGAAAGGTTGGGCTGTCTTGTCCTGCTGTTGCAGGAAGGTGCGAGATGCCTGATGATCACAGTCTTATGCCCCTGTATCAAAATTCCGGCTTTTTTTTTTCCTGAAAAGGGTAGTAACTCCAGAATTTCAAGTAGTGTGGTAGTTTGGCTTTTGTTAGTGACCTTGCTGGCTGGCAGCATTCATCTGATGTCGAAATAGTAGCAGGTTACTATCTGTGCTGGTAATTTATTGGCCAGATAGACTTTGTAGTGTAAATGAACAGAATAATTTAGAAAACCTGGGAGAAGAAACGAGACGGAGATTATACCTGAAAGCTTGAGTCTGGTATTGCTGTCTGCTCACACTAAGTGAACTTCAAGACCAATTTTGTCTGTTTCCAGTTAATTCTTGTGAGTGTGACTTCTGTTTAAATTGAAATAATTGGTTTAGCTGTGCTCTGTGGTGTCAGTATGAAAATGTGTGCCTGTATCTCTGGTGTTTGTTAGCAGAGCTGTTGCCCTGGCATGGAGAAACAGGGCAGGGAAATGGTAGTGAACTATTAATAGACTGCTTCTCAAATTCAGTAAATGAAATAGAGCTGGGTCAGGCTTCACATTCTGCTTGTGGATCACACAAGACTCCTTTCTTTTGCTTTGAGCACATTGTGGCTCAAGGTTGGTTGTGTGCTCTTAATTCTGGTGAAACTCTTAATGGTAAATATGTGGGTCCAGCTGCCATAAGAGTAAACAACTTCAAATCAGAGCTGGGTGTAAAGGTTATTTCTGGTCCCTTTGGTCATCTCATAGCCACAGCTGATGGGGGGTGGAAAAAGTTGGTGTTGCAAGCTGTCACTGTGGTGATCCTTGCAATTGATAGGCAGTCTGACATGAGCGATGCAGTCTGACATGAGTGACGTTTACACTGGTGATGTTTTGTGGCTAGGGTGTAACAGAGGTTTGAGAGTTCAGAGGCAATGGTAATGATGTGCTAAAAGATGCTGGCTGCTGGAGTTAATGCATTTTGGTAGTCTGAACGATTAGAGATGCTGCAGAGGTTTGAAAGAGTGTCTCCTGGAAGGTAGAAGACCCACTGTAAGGGTTGGATGTGAAAGCATTGTTGAGGAGGGAGGCTCCTGCCTCAGGAGCCTGCTGCAGTGGTGCGTGTGGGTTCAGTCAGAATTAAGAAGTTTGGTTTTTGGATTTGCCACGATGTGGCTGTCGACAGTCAGCAGCAGGACACTCACCTGTGTGTGCATTAAGCTCTGGACTGGATCTGCTGGCCAGAAGACATAAATATGAGCTAAGTGCTGATGCGTGATGCCTGGGCAGGCTGTAGCTGTAAGGCAAGGGCAGCCAAAGGTGTGTCACACAAGATGTGTGACACTTGGCACTCCTGCTGGGAGAGACATCTCTGTTCTGCTGCAACAGGAGGGGCTTGCAGATAGCAGTTGGATAATATCCACAAGGGTCATGTGGAAGCAGAACTTCATGTTTAAGTGTGTATATATGAGGTTGTGTTTGGAAATGTATCTTTTCCCTCAAGTGACACTTGTGGACAGTATGGGTGCTATCCCAGTGTTGATTCTGATGTGTCTGGAACTGAGGTTGGCCAAGAAGGGCAGCAGAGGATTTTCCTTGTGGTGTTGATAAGTCAAGTAGAAACAACCTTCAGACCACTACCTTGCTATTC